TCTGCCAATCGTGTCCACTTTCTATACCATCCTGCTTTATGATCGCCTTGAGCTCCGACGCCGAGAAACTCGCCTGCGGTAGCTCAAGCAGCACATGGTTAGGATTTCTCTTATGGGACGACTTTTTAACGATTCGATCCATGACTTGCTGCCATGCCATCTTTCTGACCCGTTTGGTCTTGATTTTAGGGGCGGATGGGTATGAACCCGGGAGGAGTGTGAAGCGCTCGACCTCAACTTGGGGTTTAGTTTTTTTATTGACGAGAACCGGGTTCACGTTGGTGGCCCAGAGACCTGTGCCGTCTCTCATCTTTGCTTGGGCGAGGCGGAGGATACGCTCGACTCTGTCGCGGTAGATCTCGGCGGCGCCGCTGGAGGGGAAGGTTATGCAGTATGTGCCAAGTGGTTCCATCGTCCAGGGGTCACGTTCTTGGTGGACTGGTATCTTTGTGAGTTCGATACTTTATGAGGGTATGCAGGATTTGAAGTACCATGAGTGATGACGTTTTCCCAGCCAGCGAGGGTACCTGGCGCAAGACGATGGAAGTCAGCAGCGACAAGCGACGTTGGCAGACCCTCGAGGACGAGCATTTGTCGGGAACCAAGGTCCTCAGCCATTGCACCCTTCAATGGAGTGCGAGTTAGTGGCTTTGGCTTCAAGATCCCACCAGGGCTGGCTCTGGCCAGAGATGAGTTGAGCTTCTCCTTCAGATCTCCCCAGCTCTCATCGTTTTTGGCGAAGCGGGGGAATCCGGAGCTTGGAGAAGAAAGACATCTTTTCTGGGCGGCGAATATGGCCCTGGTATGGGGAAGCCATTTTTGGCGGATCATCCGGGCGGTGGACTGTGAGGAAACATGGGATTTGAGGTTGGTGGAAGTGGAAGAGGAAGTTTGAGGGCATCTTGGAGCAGAGTAGCAATCAAGTCAAGGTGTTTTGCGGGACTCGGCCGAGTTCCGGCCTGATTTGGTTTAGCGGGGTTCATTCTCATGAGAGAGACTGACAAAAAAAAGTATGTTTGAGCCAGTCTCATGATGATAGGATCTCAGACCCTAAAGGTATGGAGAGGTATGAGTGGAAGAGGGATAATATCGTCAAAGACGATATGGAATCACAAACATCAATAACAGTAATACTCTTCCTTCCTTTTTCTCAAATCACTTACACCTACTCCATAGACTGGCCGCTGTGTCTCCGAGCCAAGGCGCCACATGAGTTTCTCAACCACTCACTGACTGACGCGAAATATATTGACGAAAGCAGAAGGAAAATGTGTTATCGATGGCTTGCATATTTGTGACTCAGGGGCCCAAGTGAGCATCGGTATTCTGACTGAGAGTTATGATGGCTCTTTCCACCCCACTTTGCTGTGTATATAGTAAGGTTGTGGATGCTGGCTGAGTAGGTCAATACAGTGATTTATCAAACAAAACTGGTAGTAAACTGGTCTTGAGGATCTTGAATGATGCCTAAAGTATAAGAAAGAGATGAATTTTAATGAGTCACATTGATTTATGTCGTTCAGAGTGGAGAAATGCATTTATCTGCTCCTACTCTATAAATTGGGCCCTTCAACTTGGGTAGTAGGAAAGAGCCTTCAGTCGCACTTGCAGGTTTGTGAGTGGGAGTGGAGAGTATCTATTTTCTTGCGCACTAACACAGCAGTAGCAGCCCAAGTAACATCCTTCCTTCATCAACCACATTCAGAGGCAGTGCCTTACTTTTAGGGCGGTTACTTGATTTCTATTCTAAACTCCTCTACACTCATCTCAACTCTTCTAAACTCATCACATCACATCGAATCGCATCCGTCTTCTCTTCCATCTTTCTTCGTCATGCTTGCCAAAAGTGTTGACGCAAGGGTCAGGCCTTTGGCCAATACAAGCCTCGAGAAGTCAAGTCTTCTCGGTGCCGCTCGAATCTATGTCAGCAAAGATACCCTTCTCTCTTTAAATGGAAATCTCGAAAACGGAAAACACTGCGTTGTCACACGTTTAGAATCTGCCGCCAACAAGGAAGATGTTCCCCAAGAAGAAGACCTACAGCGAGAAGCCTCGCTATGGATCCTCCCAGAAAAGAACCTCAGCCCGAATGTTGTTATGATGACTAGGGCATTCCAAGAAGCTACAGGTTTCAAAATCGGTGATACTGTTCGCATCGCGATTGCAGGCACAACACCAGAGGCGGAAGAAGTGGTTGTGCAAGAAGTTACTGAAGTTACAGATAAGACAGCCGCTGAGTTCGAAAGGATGCAGAGATTAGAGAAAGGCGCAAAGTATCCTTTCCCTTGGGAGAATTCACTTGCATCTGCCTTTGGTAAGCCTGGAGCACGTAATACAATTCACTATCAAACATGCTAACTCCCATTTCCCCAAGATCGTGCTGATCTCATCTTCCCTGGCATGGTTGTAGAGGCGATGCACACCTGCAAGGCACGCCGAAACTTCAAGGTCATCTCCCTTAACTCGAAGACTAATAGCGTTGCCAAGTTCAGCAATTACACGACAACAATAATCATCGCTGATGCCAACTCAACGGTCACAGATTCGAATGCCCAGGACCGTGGCGATTTGGTCGTAACTGGTGTCCCTGGAATGACGAAGCAAATTAACACGCTGAACGAATTCCTACTCCTCATCACTCAGCCATGCAATGTTGAAGGAGATAAGATGTCGGCTGCTTTTGTTATCCACGGTGGCTCCGGCACTGGCAAGACCTTCATTTTGAAACGCATCGCTGCAACGAAATGGGGCAGAGTGCATTGGATCAAACCCTCGGACAAGATCGCGAGTATAAGGGAAACCTTCAAGGTTGCACAGAGCCAGCAACCGAGCATCGTTTTGATGGATAATTTCGAGTCTCTGATCAGCAAAGATCGCTCAAATCGCGACACTGTCATCGAAACAATAGGCGAAGAACTGGATGCTTTGGCCGAAATCTCACAGTCAAAAAACGCTTACACCCAAGTCGTGGTAATTGCGACTTGCTCCGATTTTTATACTGATATCCCCGAGGAACTGCGATCGTCTACTCGCTTTCTAAACCACACTCCTCTACCTATTCCTAGAACCCATGAGCGTCAAGAGATACTCGAGTCCTTTAAGCCACCGATTAAAGGCAACAGACAAGCACTTCTCTTGGAATTGGCACAAATGACACACGCATACAGCCCTAAGGACCTCGACATCTTGATCACAACCGCCGTCCGTGGCCGTAAAACCCAGCTTCTCAAGGCAGGTGTCGATCCTGGCGAGGAGAATTTCTTGGAAAAGTCTGATCTAGAACGAGCGAGAAAGGCAGTTCGTCCCACAGCTATGCGCGACATCAACCTCAACCCTCCTACTATTCATTGGCAGGATGTTGGTGGTCAGGATGTACTGAAAAAGGCACTCAATCGAATGATCAAGTATACGAAGGTGCGATATGAGAATTCACTATCGAAGTATTCTAACAAGATACTGACCATCATGCGTTTAGAACCCAGAACACTCTCTCCGGCCTCCTCCCAAAGGTCTTTTGCTCTACGGGCCTCCGGGTTGCTCGAAAACTCTCTCGGCCCAAGCCGCCGCAACAGAGTCAGGCTTCAATTTCTTTGCCGTCAAAGGTGCCGAGCTTCTTAACATGTACGTCGGCGAGTCTGAGCGGGCTGTGCGTACTCTTTTTGAACGGGCTCGCAATGCCTCTCCATCAATCATCTTCTTCGACGAGATCGACTCTATCGGTGGGCAGCGTTCAGGCAGCGGCTCCGCTACCCGCAGCACAGGCTCTGTCAACATGCTCACGACCCTTCTCACTGAGATGGACGGTTTCGAAGCTCTCTCAGGGGTGCTAATCCTCGCCGCTACCAACCGACCTGAGGCCATGGACCCAGCATTAATGCGGCCCGGCCGATTTGACCAAGTCCTGTACGTTGGCCCTCCTGACGGAGCCGCACGAGAAGCTATTTTCAACGTGCATCTCCGTGGCCTACCTCTTGCATCAGACGTCGATATTATAGACCTATCTCGACTCGCTGAAGGGTACTCCGGAGCCGAGATCAAGTCCATCTGTGATCAGACCTGCATGCTTGTCCAGGAGCGTTATGACGATGACAGAACGGCCAACAAGCTCGAAATGACTATGGCCGACTTGACAGCTATTCTTGAGAAAACACCACGGAACATCACAAAACAGATGATTGATGGGTATGAAAAGTGGTCCAGGCAGTTCAAAAAGGTGTAAAAGTTTAGCTGAAATTCATAAAGATCATCCTAAGAATAGACTAAACTTGGGCCGCTTTAGATGATATAATAAAAGTTCTTCAAAGTTTAGAGATGGATATTACCATGAAACGTAGATCAAGTGATAAGAACTGGGCAAATATGACGAATATTTGTTCTTTATCTAGACGGGTCTTTTTCATTTCTTCGTTACGAATGGCCTGGGATCAGCACCAACTATCGTCCCTGAACCCGACTCAGCTCCTTGCTCATCTCACAAGGGCCATTGAAGCCATAAAAGTTTTATGATACAGCTCGGCAACTCAATGAACCACCCCTATGCACTATGGCTACTGCTCAGCTAGCAGGCCGCTTTCAAAATCTCCCCCTTTTTACAATCCTGCCAATCTCAACTTGCAAGCCCTGGTTTCCTTCACACGCCATTCTGCGTGCCTTGCCGTCGCTTCTCGACTACTCTATCGCCCAAATAAGGGGGCAGAATCTCGGTCCAGATAAAGCCCCATTAGACCAGACCAAGCAATGCAAACAGCCCGGACACGCCTAGTCAAAGGGTACCTAGGTGCAGCAAAGCATGTGATACTAAGAATATAGTGACGGATGCCACAAGGATATTTCAAACATCAACGCCGGTTCTCACCACCTGACCGTTCCGTTAACCAGCAAGCCATACTTGCTAAACGTGCTTGTCCAGGAGTGAGACCTCAAGTCTGCACCCCCCTTTCATGATAAACCAAAAACAGACCAATAACCGGTACGCCATCGCCGAAAGAAGTGAGGAGAATTTATGACTCCTCGTTGGAACCTGGGTCGCTGCCTGTTTTCAAGCCGCTAGAGAGACTGATGGCGATCTTCTTGCCTCCAGTGGGAGAGTTGACATTGAAGCTTTTGCGTCTTTGTGGGCCGCGAGAGTTGCCTAGGATCGCCGTGACAGAACCGCTGCTGCTGCGTCTCTTATTTTGCATCATTTTGCTCATCTCATCCTCGTCTTCCTCCTCTTCGCGTCGACGCTTCTCTGAAAGTCGCTCAGGTGGTGGAACACCTCCTCCAAGGCTCGAATCAATAGGCGAGTGCACAGCGTCGGATGCAACATCGCTGTGTTGGCTATCCGCTTCTGGTGTAGCTTCGGGGTCGGCATTTTCGTCAGTCTCTTCATCGGATGCGTAGTCGACTAGCAGCTTCGAGGTGATTGAGCCATTCGTGGATGGTGTCCTTTCCCCCACTTTACTTGACTGGTCGTCATCATCTTCGGGATCAGATGTTGCCCAATATTCCTCTTGCTCTTGCTCAACGGTGATTTGCTCGGCCATCCTTGTGTTCGCTAGAGGTCTCCTGCCCATCTCGTCTTCGGCTTCCAGGAAATAGTCGACATTGGACGTGTAACCCTGAGTTTGGTCATATCTAAGAAGGATCTCCCGAAAAGTCGACATATAGCTCAACCCTCTAAGCTTTTCTCTATAGTTGACCACGAGATGTTTGATCAGGTCTTTGATATTCTCTTTCTTGATAAACTCGAAAAATTCCAGTGATGCTGAGCACAAGAGGTTGTCTCGGGGCATGGTCTCGATAAGAACTTCAAGAATTGGCCCCAGGACCTGCTTCTCCATGAGATGCTTGATATAGAACTCATCCTGCATTGCGATCAATGATCGGAAGAAACGGATAGCAACTACGGGGAGTTAGAAAATTCAAGCACATCGGGTCAGTATTTCGTACCTAATCTCAAAAATTTCTCAGGGCATGCGAGAAGCTGAGCAATGCGCTTAACGATATCGTGAGACATTACATGTAACTTGACGCGTAACTGGTGACAGCGGATAAAAAATGTCTGAATCTCAATAAGATATGTAAACATCGACGCCTGCTGTACAGTAAAGTTCATGTCCGTTCGCTTCTCTAAGTCCATGAGGGGCTTGAATAGCCTTGGGGCCGACTTCTCGTAGAATTTGTTCAGGAAAGTCTCTTGCTGAGGGTCAATGGTGATTTGAGGTCTCTGTCTTCCCATAAACTCACCATTAGCCTTAGCAAGGGCCTCGTTATTTTGCAGTTGTTGAGGACCAGGATCTAATAAGACTCTGAGTGCTTCTGAGATTTGAGACTTGACGCCAAGATCAACTTCCACCAGTAGAAGATCAATCAAAGAGTCGGTGAGGAGTGTCTGGTTCTCGTGCAGTTGACGGTACAAAGTCTGACGGATCATTTGGGGGTCGTGATCGATGATAGAGATCAGGATGTCAGTGGCCCCAACTCTAACTCCCACGTCATGGTGTCTGAGCCCGAAGTGGATGACGGAAAGGAGTCCGTGAGCGATGAAGTTGTTGTATAATGTCTGACGCGCCGGGGGTTGGATATTCTTGGCAATAGCACAGCATTGCTGGATGAAGAGCACCGCTTCCTTCTTTCTCTTCTGATCGCTGTTCGTGGGCCTGAAGATGCCAAACAACTCGTTAAGAAAAGCGGCATTCGCTTGCAGGTGCTGAACAATGTCGACTTGGTTGAAAAAGATGAGAGAATTGAGAACCGAAAAAGTAGGATCGTCGAGTATTCTAGCCAGAACGACATCCTTTAGATACTGTAGACGGTATGTTTGGTGGATCTTCCTGCGAATTTGTTCCTCCTCTATAGGGACAACTTCTTTATATCGACCTTGATTGCCCAGCCAGTGTCGATGATTAGCCTTGTGACTAGGAAAGTCAGGGTCGTATTCCAGAGCACCAACAACACCTAAAACGCATTCGTCCGACACCGCGTGCTCTATAATCGAAGTGTCGTTAAGAAGAATGACTGTTTTCATGATGTTGCAGAGTCGGTGCAAGTCTTGAAGACTCTCGAGGTCCTCGGCCATCTCGACCAGGGGTACAATTTTGCCGATGAAGTCCTCCGCCATAATTGCTTTGGCAAGAGCATCACGGCCGTTTGCTGTCGTGCTCATCATCCGCATGGTCTGTTCAATATCTCCGAGATTTCCAAGTTCGGCCGTGGGCAAGTTGATAGCCGGCGGAGCGTCGATAGGGAGATCGTCAGAAAGGCCGTCATCTAGGCATTGGTTATCAGTATCGTAGTCTCTAGGTGATGAGCGGTCCTTCGTACCGGCTCCTGGCAGGTGGTTATGAAATGTCTGTTGAACATTGCTCACAAAACGCCTATTGGATGTCAGTACAGAAGTGACATATTACTGATTAACAGTACGAACCATATCATGGCGCATCCCTCGGCTTCTTGAAAACTGAGTGCCATGTCAACTCCACTACTAGGTTCCTGCCAAACAATCAGTGTATCTGTGAGTCAGGTTAGACATATGACGTCTTCAATGCGCGTCTCGGACATGGTGACGTGCCTTGTTGCTTCTGGAATCCATCTTCTTTCTGAATTTTCGTTTCTAGCAGAAGACGGTCGGGATGGTCTTCTGATTCAACGATGACGCGCGGCTCTTTGCGACCATCCTCAAGCTGCAGGCGCTACAGTCAGCAACTAATTCCGGGCGAAGAAGTGCATGTAAAAATGCAGAATTGGAAGGACATCAACAACATACAGTCTCAAAGCTCGCGCTGCAGAAGCCGGTGCCTCGATCGAACCAGTCATTGTTGCGGAGTTCGTAGACCTTGACGCGCTTCTTATCGGTGGGCTGATGAGGCACGGGCTGTGCCATCATCAAAGACTCGGGCTCTCCCTCGACAGTGAGGTTCGTGTACGCAACCAGATCCGGGGCAAGTTCGAGATGCTGTTGCAAGGACAGCTCCGATGGTTCGTTGGGACTCAGAATCGTAAGCGCCGCCACGATTCCTTACGGTGCGCGCAGACGGTGCGCGACAGTGGAACGTCAGGATATCCTGATTGTGCGAGATGCGCAGCTGGCGCCGCTATCAAAAGAAATGGTTCAATAAAAAAGCGAGCGACGGTCCTTCAATGCGCCATACAATAGGAATCTATCAAGATGGGGCGCGGGCGAAAATCGGGCGGGTCGGTGTGCGTTGGACAACTACGGTAGGTTGGCGACACGCCACGGAAGCAATCGGCGGGAAGGAGGGAGCGACGACCGCGGGAAAAGGAAGGCGCGACAAGCGGAGGCGGAAAGCGACTTCGGCAACAGAAAGGCAGCCGTACAGAGCCGTGAACTCGATATGCGGCAGGCGGGATCCGGGGCCAAGAAATTGATTTTGGGTCGGTTTTTGACGATAAGGGACCGATATATATCGAGGGACCGTTTGAGGCTGTCGAGAAATGCGGATTGAGGTGGGCAATGCGCGTGACCAGGCTGCCAGATGGTGTTGGGTTTAGGCCTTGGGATCCTCTTCGGGGGGCGAGGGGAGGGGGCCCTGCCTTACCTATGTCGTGTCAGCCACAGTGAGGCTGGTGGAAATGGAGCCTATCGTCCAATCAGGGGCGGTATCAGGTGTTGCCACTTTGAAAAAATGACGCGGGACTGGAGAAGTGAAAAAAGGAAACAAATGGTTCTCGTCCAATCAACGCTTGTTTCTCCAGTTTCTTATCAATTGCGCGACCAGAGACAAAAAAGAAAAGGATCCCTGAACCTGTCAAGACATTGAAGGAGGCAATGATGCAACCACGAACTAAATATAACTTGTCGACAAAGCATCATCAACAAGAAATACCAATTGAGTGGCAATTGTTGCCAGGCAGTAAGATCAGGCCTCGTTTATTACCGGGACAATGGCTCTCAAGTTCGGCCCTTGTGCATATAAGGTAGTCTATCGTTTGCAAGTGTCATCGTGCAGGCGGCCCATCGTCATATGTTGACAAAGTCGATTGCTTGTTTATGTTGAGCGACGTTGATTCTTTGTTACAAGCGTGGATTTCACGCGAAACTCGCGTAGAGGCAGCCAATGTAAATGCACGTTGCCGGGAGAATATGGAGTTTGACCGGATATTCCTTGATCCTCCATCAATCAACAAGCTACAATGCCGCTGGCTCAGCATTTGCGTACTTGTGCTTGTATGGCAAAGGACGCTTCCACAAAATCACATGTTTCTTCCATCTATGAATCAATGATTAGTAGAGGTCTCTCCATTATTCTTCCACTTACTCTACATAATTCTCCCGTCTCTCAACTTTAATGAATATCTATGCAAATAGTGATCGACAGGGACAATTAAACTCAACCTTTGAGTTAAACCATGACGCTACTCCTACTGCAGGAACGTGTAGGGCCGAGTCGGTTTAAGTGCTTAAAGTTGTTAATTTTTCCCTGGGCGAGGTTTATTTCCCCGCATCGTGAGTTCAGGGAGCATAAAATAGCTTCAAGCTCAATGTGTGATAGTAAATAAAGGGAGGAATGAGACAGGTATATCAGCGCCAGCGCACAAAGAGTGAAAACCCACGCAAATAAAGGATCGCGATCATGTCGATGCTGAGGTTGATGCAGTGAAGAAGCCACAGAACTCAATCGAAAGAGCTCACCATCGACTGCGTGACATGCTCAGCATTCTTATCGCATGTCACTGAGACGCCAGTCACCCTAATCTACTTGGGTGTCTTTATCGAGAGAACTATCAGTCGAAGGGCCAAAGCCACGGCACCGAGCTTTATCGGCATCGAGCATGAGCACGAGCACCGGATACAAGTGCGATCGCATGATGACCTTCTCACTGCACCATCGAGCTAACTGGTGGCTCTTGAGGGCTTCCAAGCGTTGATGGCTCACAGTTTAGTGTTCAATAGTAGCCCAATTGAGTCTCTTAGTGTTCCTGATATAGAAAAAAGAGGCTGTTGAACAACTTGGTCATCGTGGTCAGCTGTGTTGGTTCTCTTGCTCTGTCCAAAGAGGCATCAGCATTTATCCACGAGGCAGCAGTAACGGTCGCCTCATGACCATAACGAGCTAATTCAGAATCATCCTTTCCTGTAACGGTCGACACTTTGCCAGGGTCATTGAGAAAAGTAAAAGTTGCAGACTGTTAAGTCTGTAGAGCTGAAGGTGTTGCGATATAACGAGGGGGAGGAAAGCGAACGCGAAAGCAGCGAAGGCCAAGAGAACGAGGCTTGCCTAAGAAGAAAAGGTCTATACAGTAAAGAGGCTGGTTCTATTCACAAGACACACTAAGATATGGTATAATGTATTGTCAACCAACATTGTTTCATCTCTTGGCGGCTGTCCACAATGTAACACCAAAGACAAAACGTCCCCGTTGAACAAGAAGAGCTTTGATGTAAGCCAAGATGCAGGTTCCTGAGTCATCCACGAAACAACTCAAGCAGTTTTCTCAGTCGAGTCGGCTTCACCGCCAGGGGGTCTCTTGATGGAGAAACAAAGCCCAGCTTTGTTGGTTCTCCTGGATCTAACCGCATCCTCATGCAGCGTGGAATGGCAACGGGGGATGTTAGATCTGATCTGACCTTGGCAGGGCATTGTAGCGCTAGAAGGCTGAAGTACTAAACTCTTCTAGGAAGTTTGATCTGACTTCTAAAGCTTCTAGCGTCAGACGACGGCCTAATCGAGCTTGGGCGAGTCCTTAGAACTGACAAATAGTGGGGGATCGTCATGGACTACCTTGTCTCTGTTGATCGATTGTATCTTTTCTATGAAATGACCCATTTCCAGTACCACTTTGATCCGATGCCTACCGGTGTCTCTCAATTGATACGGATCTCAGGCTCCCAAATTAAGAGATCAACCAGGAAGAATCCGTCTAAGAGTCTCTTTGGTCGCCTGGTGGCTTGGCCTGGGGTACACCCCTGGTGCAGATCTGCTGACAGCCAAGGACAGGGGGTCCCGGACTGTCAAACCTGCAGACACACAGCACGTTCCCTCAGGGCTTATGCATGACAATGGGACCTTTTTACGACTACTGCTTCACGATCAAAAGCACAATGATGATAAGCCAAACCGCAATACGCAATTGCGAGTCAATAACGAGGCGAAAGAGGTGTTTACATGTTTTAGCCAGGGGCTCAAAAGCCACAGAAACAATCCGAGATACCGGTAGGTTCAAACAGTCAATGAGGCCGGAACACTTCGGGTGTAATGACTGACGCCACGATATGGATTGTGTGCAGATCTAGCCTGTAGAGAAGCCATTTCATCCCAACTTGGTCAATAATCTGAAGTAAAGAGGCACAAGACCGTTGGAAGGGTCCATTTTCAACTGCTTTTTGTGTAATTGACGTAGAAGAGGCGTTTGAGATGGGAAACCTGTGTCGACATGACGTGTAAGTGGTCTTTTAACACGAAAGCATGTCGTATGGCAAAAGAAATGATTACGATAGTGCAGCAACGGATAAACCCTTACCTCCACAGACGCAGAAATAGAAACTGATGTAAGCTCTGTCGCTGAATCAGGTCCCAGAGACTCCATCATCTCTTGGGTCACCGGCTTCTTCGGTCCCCGAGTAAGCGAAGCCATCTCGGTATTCTCCACAGCTCTTACACTGAACAACCGCCCCCGGCATCGGTATTGGGAGAAACACCGAGGAGCGATAGATTTTTGCTCTTGGCAGGTAAAAGTGAATGACCTGACACAGTTGTACTCAGCTGCCTCTGCACCGACAGCCTCTGGGTACACCCCAGCCTTGGTGGCGTTCTGACCACACGGTCTGGGCGACTCGGCAACGAGCCACTCAAAGTGTTTGTTTGGGAAAAGGCTGGCTGAGCTAACAAACAGCTTCTTAGAATATTCTTCACCTATTAGTTATACCGAAGGGGCGAGACCGAGGTCGATGGCCCCGTTGCAACGCGGTGCCGCAAAGATACACGGATGGCGTATGGCTGCCGATGGTCTACATGGACAGGGACAGGGATAATTGTGCCTCGATAGAGTAGTTTGATGGCCGTAGAAGCTGTCAATCGAACGGTTGGTGACATTTCTTCTGGGCGTGGTCACATATCAAACCTCGAGCGGTGACATCTCCATCGTCGATTTTAGATATGCAACTTTTCGACTGGTGACATGACAATCGACGATTGATGACATTACAATCGACGATTCTGTCCGTCTTCATCAACACGTGGTTTCTGGGGGTTACGGCTTCACACGCGAGGCGGAAACTAACATGGGTTGGACGTCGTCTAAGACATGGGCAGACCTGGACCTGGACGATGACATACTGAGTCCACCCTCGTAAGACCAAAACTCCCTCAGTGTCAAAAGTTAGAATTCACCAAAAAAGATAAGAATGATATTTTCTCAACATGACGAGAGTCATAATCATTCATGCTCTGAATCATGCTGGAAAAAAGATCTGCAACATGTGGCTCAATGCTCTGCATAGATAGTTCCTCCATTCCTTCGTGTAACCCCTGGATTGCCTCATAGTCGTTTCAACGCAGCGCCTCATGAGCAAACACTTGCTGAGATGGGTTGGACTTGTTTCACGGATCCGCAGGGGTCGGTGCGTCTGTGGCGCTTCACTTTAACGCCCTTTAGACTAAGACCCTCAGCTTGACTTGTAAGTCTTGTAAGCCCAGTCTTGGGGGTCTCGAACTCAGTAAAGATCGGCTATTGCAGCGCCGTTGCGGGCCGTCAGGTTCTTTTTCGACGCTGATGCCCGCTCAACTTTGACGCCAGCTTCCAACGCATCACTTTGGTGATTACTTACTACCTTACCTACTAACCTATCCTCAGCCTCTTGTTATATCTAGACCACTTCGCCCGTTGAAAAAACGACTCTTTTTTTTCTTGATAACATTCCAACATACAATACAACACTAACACATCCACTTATATATACTTCACATCATATCGCATCAGCATCTCTTCAACTTACATATCCACCAACAACCATGTCTATCCTCAGTTCCATCAAGCGTGCTCGCGATCACAAGGAGACAGTCAAAGCCAAAGAAGTAGAGCAGCCCAAGGCAACAAAACCCACACAAAGATATCGCCATATTCCCACACACGCAGCATGCGATTCAGTCAACGTCGGTCCAGCTGGTGCCCGTCATCACGACCGCTCCAAGGTTCGCGCTGAGAATCGAAAGCGAACGGCAAAAGCCGTTGCTGATGCCATGCACGACAACCACCACATCCAGATGAACTTCCCCGGATCCTCAACGGCCTCTCCCTTCACCAGTGGCAGCTGCAGCACTACCTACCAAGCCAGCGAGACTGACTACGATGGGGACATCAGCCCTCGAAGTCACTCTCCTGCGCATCACTTTGAGCCTGCCCACACCCACATCTATGAGTACTCTCCTGCGCCAACTTTCCATCATCCCATTTCTCTCAAGGGCAAGGAAGTTGTCCGAGGTCCTCAGTATGGCTTGGCTTACACTGTATCTCCTGACCCTCGGGATGGGCTCGCTGAGCGTTTCCAGACTGGTGTCATGATCTGAGCTTGTACTTGATGAGATTTCTGCCCCTGGAGGGTGATTTCTCAGACAAGATCATAAGCTACAAACCAAAAAAAAAAAAAAAGGAATCCAGCAAGGGACTGACTCCCTGCTACCAACCACGCTTCGGCCCAACAAGGTCCATCAACTTACACCGATCCGTCCACCAAGCTCTCCATTGAGATCGAGCAGGACACGGTACTCTGAGTTTTGAAAGAATGCGAAAGCGAACATCCCAACAAGACACGACCAAAAACAGAAAGCTACAGGGGTCGTCTTGTGGGGGAGAAAGCAAGCATTGGATATGGGGCCCCTCTAAGTCTCGGGCGTTCCGATGTCGAGTTTGACACATCTTGGCAGAAATCTTTATACTAAAACACAAAAAAGTACGCCACACTCTGTTTAGACTTGGTTCAGAGCAGGAATCCGAACCAAGCTAAGCCCTTTTACTTCATGTACAATAGCGTTTAGACTTTACTTCTAGAACCTTTCGGGTTCTTCCATTAATTACTGTTACATACTTTTTTAGCTTTAGGCTTTGGCTGCAATGTCATTCTTCGTTGGCTGGGACCAACTGTTGCTGAAATGAAACTAAGACAACGAACGATTCACGCTCACTTTCTGTTTATCATCGATCGCGATCCTTGTGAATCTCATGAAGACAACTACTGCAGGGGTTATGATTGAGTTTGTTACCTAAATAATCAAATGCGGTTATCCGTATTGCAGTCCATTGACTCAGTCTGATTGATCTTGTAAGTCACAAAGCTTATTAGACTCGCTAAGTAGAGGTAGCAAGGGAGGCTGTATATTCTCATATCATGTTAGTTTCTCAGTCTGTTTATGGTCTGACATGGAAAAATACAATCCAAAGTCTCATGTATTTCTTGAGATATGTCTTGTATTGAGTAAACGATCAAATGTGGTTGTTCTCCAATGTCTTCAATTGTTCTAAAGTTATTAGCCTCGGCAGTTTCCTACTGGTCATTTCACCATTTGGTCCCTGCCGATCCCTACCATCTTCACTATAGCACCCTTTGACACCCGCAGGCCTGTAGCTACGTAATCATAGATTAGATGCAACGCCTCATTCATGCTTCGTGGCCTTCTAATGCTGTACAACCACAACCACAGTCGCAAGCAACTTACCCACCGCATCCATACTCTAAATCTTTGCTTCGCCCACGGGCGCGTTCGCCTTTTTTATTTTCCTTTCCTTTCCTTGTGTACGTTGCACCAAATCAATTGGCATCTCAAATGAGCGTGCTTTAATTCTACCGACACTCGCCTTTTCATCGCCGCATCTCCGCAGTCGCGAGCCGTATTAAACAACTTCTACCCTTGGCCAAAATGGCGATCGATCCGCCCGCGGAGTTTCTCAGACCTCTATGGGCTTGGGCTGAAGCTACGCCCGTCTACATTCTTCTGACATTATTTCTCGCACTCATTGCGCTGGCACTTCTTGGGGTATGCACTGCACTGAACCCCTCTAGGGCCCCGCGCGATCGCAAGCTCACCATTCCTAGCTCTATGTCATCCTCCATCTCGTCGCGCCAAAGCCTCGACCCGTCTACGCCTCCGAAAAGACCTACCTTACCAGCCATCCCACCGAAGGACGCACACAGCCTCAACCTCTCCCCTGCTGGTACGATCGCTGGCTCGCTGAGCGACAGGCTAGCGAGCAGCACGTCCGTCCCGATGAAGCATTCCCTACTCCCGATGCTGGAAACATCGAACCCGCCCAAGTGCGTCTGAGCGTTGTCTTCCCAGCCTACAATGAAGAAGGACGCGTTATCCCCACCCTTGAAGAGGCTGTCACCTATCTCGATGAACACTTTGGCCGGACCAAACAAGCTGGGCCTAGCGGAGTGAGTCCTACGACTAAGAGACATGTTCGGAACGCTCCTAAGGAGGATCTCGGCGGATATGAGATCTTAGTTGTCGATGATGGAAGCAAGGACAAGACAGTGGATGTTGTCCTCAAGTTTGCCCAAGAACACGGCCTCCATGACATTCTTAGAGTTGTCTCACTTGCTCGCAACAGAGGCAAGGGCGGAGCGACTACTCATGGCTTCCGACATGTGAGGGGTGAATATGTCCTATTCGCTGATGCTGATGGTGCATCCCGTTTCTCCGATGCTGGTAAGCTCATTGAAGGGTGCGAGGAGGTTGTCGATGGATCACACCGCGGCGTTGCTATTGGAAGCCGAGCCCATCTCGTCGGTAGCGAAGCCGTTGTTAAGGTAAACGAACCCCCTCGTCTATAACAATTGTATCAACTAACATAACTAGCGCTCGGCTCTACGAAACTTCCTCATGCGATCTTTCCATCTCGTGCTCATGATCCTCACACCCCCGGCAACATCGCGCATCCGCGACACCCAATGCGGCTTCAAGCTCTTCTCGCGAGCATCCCTCCCACACATCATCCCCTACATGCACACTGAGGGGTGGATCTTCGACATAGAGATGCTCATGCTCGCAGAGTCAGCACCCGCGACACCAGTTCTTGGCCACGATGGCAGTGTTATTGGCACCAGTCCCGGCATCAAGGTTGCTGAAGTGCCCATTGAGTGGCACGAGGTTGGTGGCAGCAAGCTCAACGTCATCCAGGACAGTATCAAGATGGCTATTGGCCTTGCGGTGCTGAGAGCGAGTTGGATGTTTGGCGTCTATCGAAGACGATTGACATAGGATGGAGGTCAAGGGGTCACACAGGATATGAGCGCAAATGCTCAGTAATCACAATGATCATGTCTAGTTGAATAAAACACACGGTCAACAAATCTTTCAGATTCATGAAAATAAACGGCTCGCCCTACACACGACTAGGCTGACAAGACACGGTAAAGTGAAGCTCAATTGCAATTAATATTAATCTTGAAATGGTGATCTACTTGTGTCTCCCAATCTCTAACCACAGATAGTATGGGGATCAAGTATGCGTATGTGTGTGTATATCCAACAAAAGCCCACTCCCGCTCAACACTCTGAAATGCTCAAATGTCTCATAACCACCCATGAAAAGAACATATGTACAATCGTCCCTCTGCTCTAATCTGATCTCTCCCATTTCTGAAAGAAATTTAGATTCGTTTTTAAAATTCGACATAAAAGTCCCAAGCCAAAGCTCCATAAACGCCGCAGCTCTCGCTACTTAAACATACAGTGCTCTTCTGCTCTTTCTTTTTTTCCCCAAGCTCTAGATTTACTGGAATGTCTCCCGGTACATGATGGGAAGGAAGACAATGCATGCCTTCCAGAGGATGAGGACGGCATCAATGATAGCGAGAGGAGCCTTGAAGATGCCCAAGATACCGCAGCCAATGACGGTGCAGGCGTTGAGCCAGATGGCAAGGAATGCAACGGAGAAGAAGTGGTACGCGAGGATGAAGGGCCGCTGGAGCATACCAGCCAAGAGAGCGACGGGGCCGTCAGTTGAGCCGCGCTTGAAGTAATTGAAGCATCCGTACTGCAGAGCACGGAGCTGACGGTCGTTGGCTGCGAACAAGGAGTACAGAGCTTGAGCAAGAACGTTGATGATACCAGTCAAAGGCTTGCGCTTCCAGTAAAGCTGATCAAGCGCATTGTTGATGGCCTTGTTGTCAGCAAGATCAGACACCTTGCTGGGGTGCAACTCCTCGGCAAGGATGACAACATCGTTGAATGCGACAGTCATACCACCGCCAGTAAGAGGATGTCGCATGTTCATAGCGTCACCCAGGAGAATGGCTCCGTTGGCGCGCTGTTTCGTGGGAGGAAGCCAGCTGTTGGGCATGCTTCGGGGGATCTTGCCATCCTCAAGAGCCTTCTCAGCTGAGGGTCGGATGCTGGTAGGGAGCGCAGGAAGGACATAGTTGCGGATATATCCACGAACACCGCCATTCTCAGGCGAGGCTTCGGGGATACCTTGAGGCACATCGATAAGAGCGCGGGTCTCGTGAGTCCCGATCTGGTAGAGAAGGATAGGGAAAGCATTGCCAATGATGACATGGCCGTGGCCAGGTTCAGGGAGATCGCAGTCGATGAGTTCAAGAGCGTAAAACTTTGAGCAGACCTTGGGCTTGGTCCTGAGAACCTCCTGGCGCCACTTGGAATCGTAACCATCAGCGATAATAGTCAACTGTCCAAAGTAGTAATCCTTCTCTTTGACACCGGTCTCCTTGTTCTTTGTTCGACTCTCAACACCAAGAATCTGGTCCGACACCTCTCCGCGCAGCGTCTTGACAACCTCTGTCTCAACGACAGTGATGTTCTTGTGGTTTATGCACGACTCTCGTAGCTTGGTGATAAAGCGGCCGTGGTGGAAACTGCATCCAGACGGCCTCTTATCCGCTGTGCTGTGACCTCCCCAAGCATGTGTGACATTGCCGCTATCGTCGAGACCGGGGTAAGGAACGAGGACCTTCTCGCCGTGGTAGAAGACAGTGTATCCGTAGCAAGGCATGGCATCGATGCCCTCGAGACAGTGACCGAGGCCGATTTTCTGTAGTGAGGCGACACCTCCAGGCTGGAGAAGTTCGCCAACGATGCGATCGGGCTCCGATAGCCATCGCTCGAGAAGGAGAACGGATCGGCCCTGGTTTGCGAGAGCGTAGGCGATAGTGCAGCCGAATACACCAGCTCCTACAACGACGACATCGGCCTCGTGGTATTGTTCGCGACGGCGAGTCTGCGACTCGGTTGATGTGAGTACTGAAGCCATGGTTGAAATTATTGGCTGTTGTAGAAGTGAAAGGAAGTTGAGTCGCGGTAGTTGAGGAATTGTCTAACAAGACTTTCGATGGGGAGTGGGGGGTCTATTAATCGCGGATCGGGGGGCGGCGAGAAATTGGATGGATTGGCCCAGGGAATTAGGGGGTGGAAGTGGTCAAAGAGTAAGAGCAGCAACAAACGGCGATGCTTTTATAAAGAGAATTGAGATCAATGCTTTTATGCAATATGACACAATATTCTCGCAGATGCTCAGGTGTAAGTCAACAAATAATGGAAGGTCTTATCTCTTATAAACGTAAATCGGTTTTCGGGGGCCACAGAGCCTGTGACAATGACGCTCTCGACTTTTGGGGGCAAGTATAAAAAAGGCTAGAGGTCCAGTGAGAAAACACAATTAGATCGATCAATTGAGATGGAATTCTGGGCAATTGGACCGATTTAAACACCACAGACACTTTCAAAGACGACAATTCCTCTCGTCTGATCACAATTGACCGGATATGCGCCGTTTATAGGCTCCCTTTTCCTCTCATTCTCGTGGCATTCATCCTCCAGGATATCAACAAATCAGCGTATAAACCGTCACTGAATGTCATGCCAGGGGCCCAAATTCAAAGAAACGAAGGGGGAAAAAAACCAACAAGAGAAATGGACCCTTGGACTGGCATGGGGCGATCCTGGCATTCTCTCTAGGGCTGTCATTATCGTAGCTCCAGGGGAATAACCCACTGTAGGGTCCCCTGGAACACCTCACCCCGCAACGCTGTGGTCTCCCTTGGTCGTAGCAATCGCGCCACTAAGACCCGTAGACGCCCTGACCGCTAAAAGAGCAGCCAACCACCGAAGACGAGATCTTGCGGGCATGGTTCGATGTGCGAAAAGGACACCGCCAGGTTCCGGGACTTTTCGCATGTGAAAGACATCGTCTCATAAGTTACAGAGAGAGATTCAGATCGTACGTGGTCCGAACCAATTTCTCCTCTGCCGAGTCCGGTATTACTTCGTCAAGAGTAAGAGAAAATACGTATTCGGAATGCGACTTTCAGGGTTTTTCTGGTTGGGGTCGATGCTTATTTGATGTTCCTGCGTCTCTTTAGCGGCTAGTGGCCAATCAGTTTCTGGTTGATGACCTCCATTAACAAAATCTCATGATGACGGGGTCAATTCTACACGAATACGCTGCTGCATGTGACACTATTCAACCCAAGCCCCACCTGTAATCAAGTCATCTCACAGCAGAGAAACAGAATCACATGCGAAAATAAACATTCAGTATCCATAACAATTGACATGTGCTGAGAGGGGCATATTGAAACGCATAGAGTATTCACAAGATACATAGATTATTTAAATAATATTTTGTATTGTTTCTTTTACAGATAGTACCATAACAGATACCATCATATATGCTCATACTCTCAGGCCACAAAGAAAAGTTAACGTGACCAAGAAGCCCAGTCGATATACCCAAATGCCTCTTCTGTAACCATAATGTCTACGCCATGCCAATGCATATCCGTGTCTTCCAAATGTACAACCTCTAATCTCAAGCCATTGCACTGGCTATTTCCTTCTCTAAGTATATCTCATCCTCAGTAAGCTCAGGCGAGGGCGTCCTCTCTCGTTTCGTCCGCTCGTGTCGTGCTGTTCGGATCTTATCTATCTTGTGCTGTCGAGCAGGCAATTCATCCTCGACGATCCTGTGCCTCGACTCGCTCAATGCTTGTGGTGTTGAATCTCGTCTTGAGGACAACTCCCAGTCTGTATTCCGCTTGTCCTTTGGCGTCTGCCGTCCAGATTGTTTGTCTGGGAAGAAACCTCCTTCAAATGCCACTGGCTCCTCCACCGTCTTGAAAGCTCCAACAACCTCCTTGGTAACGGCCTCCCGCTCTTGTTTGTTCGTCGCCCTCAGGGACTTGATATGTTCAAGAGCATCGTCAAGACGCAATAGTACTTGCTTATGCGTGTTCTCTCGCCTGTGGTCCGTGGCTGCCCTTGACGCAACATGCTTCATAGCTAACTTGACGGATTCCTTGCACTCTTTACTACCCTGCCACCATTCCGACTTCGATATGAAGCTTGCAATAAGTGACATCAGGTCTCTGTAACGCCCTTGTCCAGTATAGGAGTGGATGAGACTGGCAAAGTTGAACTTGTTGTACGCCAGCTCACCCATACCATTCTGCTGTGCTGCCATTTCGCAGACTTTGATCGCGGCTTCAGGGTTACCCTTTTGAGTGAGAACACGGGTGGCTTTGTTGTATACACTGTCATGAATGTGTTGACCCTTAGCAAGATTCTCGCGGAGTAAATCATTCACGTTGTCGCCAGCCTCAAGTCGAGCGACCAGCATAGGAACCAGAGCACCGCTGATGTCGTGATTCCTTATGTATGCCTCATTGATGAGACATGCCACTGTGCCAGAATGGGGTCCTTCCAAGTGAATATTGGCGACAACAGCAAGTCGAAGGCATCGTGATGAATCCCCAAGGCCCTTCTTAGTTGCCTCCTTGTAGGCGCTGAAAACACCGCTCCAGTCATTCTCAAGCGCCAGAGTGTTCATGTGTTTGAATGCTGCTCGCTCGTAGATGGATATTGAATCACCTCGGCGTTCAGGCAGAGTTGGGGCAATTCCATAGCTGTCTGTCTTCTCTCCTGGCAGAGGCTTGTGAAGACCATGCAGGCCGCCTTCACTAGCGTAGCTGGTCAACAGAGGGTCCTTCAGCCATGGCGCAGAAGTTCGTGCATCCTTCAGCATGCGAATCACGTCAGCTCTCGACAGGTTCCAGTATCTGCAGCATTTGTCGGCAATCTCGTTGAAGAAGATCTGGTCCATTGCCAAGCCACCATCTTGGCAGAACTGCACCCACGCAACGAGAGCTTGAAGATTGCGGGTTCGCCCGTGTCTGTCCATGACAAAGAATGCCAGAGGCTTGTTCAAACTCATGTGGTGGTTGCTGACAAGATCTCTCACAAAAATGTCCATCTCCGCGGTTGTGTGGTCCTTGCAATAGATCTTTGTCAGCCAGGACAGAATATTCTGAAACTGGTCGGATTGCTTCGCTTTAGGTCCGAAAGCCTCAAGTCCAGCCGAGACCTTGTCCCACTGTCCCAATTCAGCTTCGCGTACAATAAATCTCCCACGAAGCTTGACATCGACACCTGAGGCCTTCGGTCTCATCTCGCGGAGCTGGGACATCTCTGCACTTGCAGTCGCATCATCACCAGCATCAAGAGCAATGAGGGTAATTCTACGTCTGGCGGCATACTGAGCAGACGAAGAGAATACACTATCGTCAAAAAGACCGCCTTTTTGGAGTAAGGTATAAATCGTTTTGACCTCCAGGAAGTCCTTCGTCTTCCTCCAGTAATGCATAAGCAGCCGAGTGACCCATTCATTGCGATCGGTTTTCAGTGCCTCCTTCGATTGTGGCTCAAAGCGAGACAAACTTCGCAGTAAGTGCCTCACACCCTCGACGTCGCGGCTGCGGGAAAGACTGTCGAGGAAGGGTACGGCCAGAAGGCAAATATCGTTGCAAGCGGGACGGACAGCCTCGAGTATGAGAGGGACTGTTCGGTATTCCCGAGACACTGCTGTAGACTGAAGTATCCGGATACCCCTTGATAAAACCTCCTGGGCCTCTTCACTCTGTGTAGAGGTTGAGGTCAGACTCTTAAGCATTTTGGCAGCTCTCATTTCATTCTGGACACGCTCATCGCGTGGCAAGTCTTGGATCTCCAATTCCGTCAGGAGATTATCCAGCAGTGACCACGATTCTGGTTGTCCTATCGAGGTTTCATCGGCCGGCTCTGTTTTTGCAATACCGACTTGTCTGTCGCCTGCCGTTGAGGTGTTATCCGTCGTTGACATTTTTGCTGAGCCTGTAATAGCGTCCTTTCTGGCCTTGGTCGTCCTGGAATTGGCTGATCGTGTCCTTGGTGATGATGTAGTCGGGAGCCTGATCTCCGGTGATAACCTGATTGAAAGGGCGTTGTGAGAGAATGTGTTATTTTCTGATATGCGTGATAATTCCTTTCGTGCTGCGTCCCACTCGTCCCATCTCTTCTGGCGGTTCTGAGGCGTGCTTGTTGAGTCCCCATCCTCAGGCAATGTTGTCTCAAAAGACTCTATATGCTCAATCTCCTTCGGGCGCGATAATTCATGCTCTAATGAGTCAATCCTTGTTCGTTGACGGCGCACAACATTGTTGGTGGGTGCGTGCGAGAAATCGTGGGCAATTTCGATTGGAAATGTTTCTCGTCTACTGCTGTAGCTCTCAGCCAGCGCAGCTGAGTTGCGGTTCACCCGGGCAGTGTGAAGTTTCTTGGCATTGTCGAGAGCAGCTCGAGCGATGTTGAGTCGTCGACGTCGTTCTTCAGCAAGGATGATGACTGAACAGGACGTTGTTAGGAGAACACCTCGGAGAGCGTTGACGGCGACCCTTGAGGGGGCGGGGCTTGGAGTGGCCATTCTAGGCGGTCGTCATCTTGATCCGGACCAATTCTGCCCCGGATCGGTTTTGTGAGATCGCAGGTTCGTAGGTTGATGTTCAATTCGTCGTCTCGGTATGTCGCTCGCAGTAATTGTTCGTGGTGTGATGCACAGATTCTAGGCCGAGTGAAGTCCAATCGAATTGGAGGTTAGGTACGTACCCGCATGGCCGAGGAATCGGGACTTCGGGCCAATGAGAGAGCTACGATGGCCAGCAGCATCAGCCCATTTTAGGTCAGCATCCTTGTCCATGTCCAGCTCCAGGGTAGGTACTTTAGCATCATCGTCCTTATTTTGCTGTCTTACTGTTAGCGGGATCGTCATTCTATAAAGTCCAATGCAACTTATCACTTCGATTATTTACTTCCTAATAATACTGTTAAATATATCTACAGTTGTTTCAATGGACCAATACGTTTCGGGTGGCAGGTCATCCAGGTATTAGACCTTCAGACTGCGCCTTTCCATTCCCCGCAAGTGATATACACCTTGAACAA